GAAATGACTGGTCTTTAAAGAAGATACTAAATTAGTTTTTCTGTAAATGTGGTCTTGATTTATTTATTTATTCTTCTTCCTTCCCTCTCTTTACATAATGTTCCTCGCTAACTGAAAATTCTCACGCTATACTAGAACAATTATATTTAAATACATGAACTTGATTATTCTTTGAGCAGTAATACAAACAGTAAACAATGTTTTCTATTGTATTATTACCTTCACCTTATTTTAGTTTTACAGAAGTATTTTTTACTTCCTTGTTTTAAAATTCAGCAAAAACCTTTTGGACCTAAAGCTCTCAAATAACTATGTGATGCCCAAAAGATAGGCTGGTAATAAATCCTCATAGACCGGTGTCTATAGAGCACTGGTGGTGAGGGGCTGTCTCTGCCTAACTCACCCACCTTTGTCAAATGCTGTGGTGTATTTATACAGTAATTGTTGCTTCGTGTTATTACGTAACTATAGCATCATCATACATGTGCCGGAACTAATTTACATAGTACAATCTTATGGTTATAAGTAGTTCTTTTGCGCTGTGCATGTGCCTCCCCAATTCAGGGGTTGTTGGGCGTCTTTGATTAAGGCTTCCAAGGTCTTCTTCACATCTGAACTTTTCAACTTTGTCTTTGGAGCATGCACAGTTAATGGTGTTCCTTGGTCTGTCTGGTCCTAACCGGCCTAAATTCTTTATTTTATGGTTAATTTGCTTTACATTTGCCAATTTCTCATTAGTACTATATCTATCTCTAAAGCTATCCACCTGGTGAGTTTTTAACTGGCCATTCATTGTATTGAAAATTATTGTATTATATTATATAAACCTTATATTAACACATCAGGTTATATAGGCATAAAAAATTATGATTCAGGTTATATAACTATACAAAATTGTGATTCAGGTTATATTGGTATCAGTTTATATAGATATATCAGGTTGTTTTGATATCTTATAACTCAAGCTATATAAGCACCTTGTAATTTTGGCCTAAGTTATATAGGAAAGAAATACCTTGTTTGCAGGAAATTAAGATCATGCAAATGGTCTTGTTTCACTAAACAGACCAGTTTTATTTAAAACCTGGCCTTGAGAGGAGTCTTTAATTTGACTTCAAACTGTCAAGTTTGGTGAAAAGTTGCCGTGTGATTTTGGACTTTGTTGTTCAAGTCTGTTATTATTTTTAAAGCTTTGTTGTTGCCCTTACAGTATAGCACCAAGCAGGCTTCAGGCTTTAGCTCCAGCATTGAGACATGTGATGATTCTCAGTGTTGCTGCAGCAGGAAGTGTTTCCTGGCATGTACTTTCTTCCCTGCAGTTTGCCTTCAGATTAAGAGAAAATCAATAGATGGATTCTTATTGTAGAAAATTAGCCTTTACATGAAATGTTCAAGTGTTACTCAAGTGCTTAGAGTGGGACAATCTCTGGATATGCTCTCATTTCTTGCTATGCTTTTCTCTGTTTTCCTGGTGTTGCTACAGATATGTTGGTCTGTTCTGCTGGTGAAGACTTAAAAAATTCTTTTAAAAAGGCAAGCTGCTAACAGCACCTGAACAGACTGAAGGATCTTGATTTCTTCACACAACTCACCTAGTGCAAGTCCTTACTTCTCTCTAATATTACTCTTTTCCCTCCAACTGTTCTGTGTGGTATTAAGTCACTGTTTTTAATATGTGGATTTTAAATCTGGTAATAATTGTGACTTCCCAGCAGACGTCTTTTTTTTTTTTTTTTAATTATATTTTGAAGTGCTTAATTTCTAGCAAAGTTCTTTTATTAAAAAATCAGCGTGGGCAAATACTGCATATGGAATAAGTCCTTCAGGGTTTATTTTCTGATCACCGAAGCAAAAATTAAACTACTCCTTTCAATTATATAATTATTATTATTACTCCTTCACATTGCTACAAACTGTACACCTTTTTATTAAAACAGGTAGATTGTCTTCTGTGTTTGATGTTTTTAATAACTAGTGTTTTTTACCAGAAACTAAACATAGCAAAAGACTGCATCCTTTGACAGCACTATGTGTTTTTTCAGATTTTTCTCTCTTTTACCCACTTACTAGGGCTGTCAGTTCTGGATGGCTACTTATTTTCATTATTTGTATTTTCTATCAAATTAAAGAAAATAGAAAAATCAATTGTTATGACCTTAGCCAGCATCTTCTTGTCATCTGAGTCCACATCTCTTTCCTCTTGTGGTATTTATCTGTAAAAACAATGCAAAACTGTTGCATGCAATGTACATTCTGGCTGGCATTAGAGAAGAAATTCCCAAGTTTTTCTTGGAAATTGAAAAATACTTAAGAGAAATTAATAATAGTGTCTTGTGGTGATACTGAATGTCAAAGGAAAGGAAGCTAGAAGAAGTATACGAGATAAAACCACCTTGAGAGATATATTTTCCTGTCACTCTGCCTTATGACAGTGTCTGTGCTAAGGGACCACTGAAATGAAGAGGTGATTTCTGTCTCTTAATTAATGTTTGCTTAAGTTTTCAGTGTGCAAAGGGCCTAAAGATTGGCATTCAAATATTATTTGTTCATTTATTTTGTTCAGATAGAAATTCTGCCAGTACCTTTTACAGTATCTGCAGCTGCAGGTGTATTGAAAAGACTGGGAGCAAAGACCATTTCCTGTTCTTGAGAGCAGCCATGCAGTGCATTTATTTAGCTCAGAAAACTCTCAGAAAGGGTTTTCTGCCCTGTCTCTGCTAGAGACAAGTCATTCTAGAACAATGGCTTTCAGACGATCATAGAATCTGCCGAGAAGGGACCCACATGGATCATCAGAATCCAGCTCCTGGCCCTGCACAAGACATCCACACCATGGGCCTGAGACAGTTGTCCAAATCCTCCTTGAGCTGTGTCAGGCTGGTGCTGTGACCACTTTCCTGGGAAGCCTATTCCGGTGCCCAGCCACCCTCTGGGTGAAGAACCTTCCCCTGACGTCCAACCTATGCCTCCCCTGACACAAATCCAGACCATTCCCTTGGGTCCTGTCACTGGTCATCACAGAGAAGAGCCCCTCTGCTTTCCCTGGGGAGGAAGCTGTAGAGCACTATATAAATCTTACTCTCATTTCAATCGTAAACATTCATAGCTGGTTACTTCACTGCTAGTTCACCCACGGCCTGGTTTTGAAGATAACCTGGTAAAGGGAACTACCAAAGCAATTTATTTGGGTATGTAACCTTTTAGGAGGTTCTTCTGGGGATGATTTTTGTTAAGGGGTAAGGTTTTTCTTGCTAGGGATGCTTGTATGGCCAAAACTGTTAGCTTTATTTTGGGCACACCATGCTAAAATTGTATCCCCTCAGAAGTTTCATCTCTGTTTAAAGCAGAGATCATATAAGCTTTCCTGTTTCCTCTTCATACATTACAAACTCGAGATTTTGTTTGCCTCATATAAAAGGATTTCTTTATCTATCTCCTCCTTGTATCCTGTGAACTGGTTTCACATAGCTCTGTTGCACTGATGATTAGAACTTCAGGTGCCACAAAATGGTCACACATGGGCCTTGTGTACCTTGGGTGGTACTATTCAAGTATTATATAAGCCTGTTTCTTTCTGCCTTTTAGAGCAGCCTTTTGGATTTTTTCTTTCATTTTGGTGCCTAACATTCATTCTGAGATGCACTAATATGCCATCCCTACAACTCAAAGGAAATTAGAATATTTAGCATAAATTCTTGTTAGAAGTCCAGGTGTATCACCTTGTATTTTATACTCGTGAATTTAATCCCAGTTTTGAGAAGCAACAGCTGTTAGGGTGATTCAGTTCTCCTTGTGTAAAGTCTCTGTATTTCTACCATTGAGCAGCAAAATTCATCTCTACATACTGGGATTTTGCACCATGATTGTTAAAAAAATGATAGTAGTACTAGCCTCTAATAGCCTTCCTGCACCCCAGCACTTCTGCTTTCAATATGATGTATATTTCTAGCTCCCTTTTTAGCAGTTACTTACCCTCTTGACAGTTTTTCTAATAAGCCTCATTTTCTTCTGCAAAACTAATGATTTTCTATACTTCAAAAGATACGTGCAGGTCTTTGTATTCCAGCTCTTTGAAAAATCCATGTATCTCAGCAATATTTTGCCTGATGTCACTTAACTTTGGGAATTGGTTTTCTTTTGTTTCTCCTCATGATATTGATTATTCTTTCTAGTTCTGAATCCTTGGTTTTCTGTACTGCATTTGTTACTCTTCAGTCGGATATCACATCAGCAGCCTGATACACTGGTGTTCAAAAAGCCTACTGTACCTGTATGTACTTGTGCAAGTCCTTTCAGACTTCTGAATTAGACGGTGTCTATGCTTCACACTCTGTCCCCTTGGTTGTGCACACTGAAGCTATTTTCATTTTTGCTTCCAGAGTGGTAGTGGTAATTTCCATATCAGTGTGCAGCTGTCATCTTTGCCATTGAAATTAAAGGAAGAACTATCTGTTCAGCATTGGTCTTGATGCAAATTCTCACTAAAACAGATTAGAGTTCTGTTTCATATTGAAATCCAATTTAAGGGCCTGGATATTCATACCTGACTATGAGCAGTATCTAAGGAAGTTGCCTTCTTGAAAGTACTTTTGACACTACTAAATTCTCCTTTATTCATACCATTGTATTTCTTGCAGTGGGCCCTGCACAATTTCATATTTTTCTTCTCCCTGACCATCTCAAATAATACAGCTTCCACCAACAAAGCTTTCATGGCTCATTTCTCGGTAGTCAACCACCATTTTTGGGCATCTCTCTTTTTCCCAGCTAGCAGAAGTACAGGGGCTGCCAGACCATCATGAGCATATTTGCTCAGTGTTTTTCTTGGCCAGTTTGTGTTGCCTGCACACTTTAGCTGTTTGGAGTTCAGGGCTCAATTAAGAATGTTTTGGTGGAAAAAGTAGCTAGCAATTGAGAAAGGAACTGAAAAGTAGCTAGGAACTGATGCCTGAAATATTTCTAAAACTTTTCTGAACCATTGTTGTTTGTTTGCTTTTCAGATCCCCCTTTCCCAGAAGTAGAATTTGTTGCAGTTAAAGGTTCTGCACCTTTGCTCAGACTCCGGAAAGCAGAAGATCAAAATGGACCGATCAGGTTTGATTGGTTTGTCTATGTGCTCTTCACCCTTTCAGAGAACGTTCTGCAGATTCGTGTTATGTACAGATTAGGACTGTTTTGAGTGGCAAGATTACTTTTTTAGCAATGAGGAAAAACTTAAGCTGTACCTCTCAGTTTCTCCCCCCTTAGCAGAGTAATATTTAAATTCAGGTTTTTCGCTATTTTCTGGAACAAAATCCCAGTTTGGATAATTGTGAGTTTTCACCACTGGCTTTGTGGTTTGATTTTGTTTTTCTTTTCCTTTTATCAATGGTGAGATACTCTAGATCTTTATTGATGGATCCAAACACACCTCTACTGATGTGATTTTTCTTTTTCAATGAACTCATGCAGACAGTACATATTTCTCCCCAGAGCCAGAGGAAATAGTGAATAACATCCTCATTTATGCATATTCTGAATACTTTTTTCGTAGTAGTATATTTCTATCATAATGTATTTCTAAAGTAAAAAGATTTACGCCTTACTAAGTGCTGTTGGTGACAGAAGGAAATGGTAACTCTATATTACACTGAAGTAGAAAATACTTGAAAGCTAGTAACATCTCATGAAATGGCTGGTGTAACAACCTTAATGGACAGTCTTCCCATGGTTGAATACAATAGACTAAAAATTGTGTTGAGAGGAATGAAAACAGATTTTATTTATTTTTTAATGGTATCTGTCCTCTCCTTCTTTCAATAGAAAAAGTCTTGTTTCTGTGAACTTTCAAGTAATTTTTAGAGAAAATGGTATATTATTTCATAGGTGAACTTCAGTGTGAGGAGGAGGAGCTAGTCTGAAGTATCTCGGTTTTATGTTCTTCTGAACATAAATAAGTGTGTATCAATAACATGCATGTGGTGAGAATACCCAGCTGTAAGCTGTGCATGCAGTGCTTTTGGACAAAAATGAAGTGGATCACACATGCACAGAGAAGTATTTTTGTATAAGAAGTTTTGTATTGGACATTGTTAATAAAAAACAGTTAAGGGGCTACAAATAGAAAAAAACAGTATGGATTAATGAATATCTGATGCTTATTTCAGTGAAATGAGGGCTAATACTTACTTTTTTTTTGTTTCACTCTAGTTTTTATCAAGTGATTGTGCTTCCTCTGGATTTGCAAAGCACTTTTATTTGTGACTCCTTTGCTGCTACAACTTTCTTTAGTAACACCACTGACATTAAAGGATATGTGGCAGCTGAATTTCGTGCGAAGGATGTTGCTGATAATATGTCAATTACTCTTGGAGACAGACATTATTATGGAAAGTTTTATAATGCTCCTTTAAAGCTGGGAGAAGAGTACTGTGTTTTTTTGAAAATAATAAGTGAGTGGAATAAGGTAATGAATGTTTTAAAACTTTGCACCTCTTGAATGAAATGTTGCTGGGGGAGAAGACAACAATATTAGCTGGGTATTAAATTTTTCATGACACTTCAAGGATCTCCTAGTTGACAGAATTAGATTAAATCTGAAGCTCTTTAAATATCTCTTACAATTCCTTAATGGTACTTATGTCATTGCAATGTTGAAGCAACTCTGAATGCCAAAAGTCAAACAATGGAAAATAATCTAAAATGAATGGCCATTTCTGCCCTCAGTAATTGAAGGTGTCTGTGTTGGGCTAGAATTTACTAAAAGAGATTAGTATGAGAATTTGAAAATCACTCCTTAGCAGTGATGAGTTCACCCATTTTCATTTTTAATTAAACGTCTTATAACAAAATATTCCAGTTCTCCAAGTGACATGGAAAAATATATTTTATCACATATTGTCTGTTAGCTTCCAAAAAGCAGTGAGTGTCAGCTCCAGCTCCATTGAGAAAGCCTTATGAAAAAAAGTATATTATTATAATTAAATTTTTTATAATTTTAAAGTAAATATGTATTTTAATTAGAAACAGAAAGTTGTTAAAATGTACATATCGTCTAGTTTTCCAGTTGTATCTGTCTCAGGAGTCAACAGCTTTAAATTTTTTTATACTATAAGTCTCAGCAGTAGAAAGTTTTTCTTATGGGACTGGGGATAACTCTTTGTGTGCAATACAGTTCCTGAATGTCAAATGTAAAAGGTGAACTAAACAACCTCTAATAAAGAAAGAAACACCTAAACAGTGCATCACCTTGCCGTCAAAATAGTTTTTAGGACTTTGTGTATACAGCACAAGACAAGGAGACATGCATAAACTGATCCACGACTCACTTATAAGTAATTCTCTAAAATTTTAGGAGCTTACACACAAATCTCAGTAAGTGAAAACAGCTTCTATTAAGAAATAGTGGGTAACGTCCTTATTTATGCATATTCTGAAGTACTGTTTCATAGTAGTGTATTACTATCAAATTGTATTTCTAGAGTAAAAGGATTTACCTTTTACCTGTAACTGCCTCATTTCAAAGTGAGTGAAATAAAACAAATGCATGTAATATGAGGATTATGGTATCTACTACTCTGAGAGATTTTTATAGCAGAGATGAAGTGGTTTCTAATTCTGATACAAGTCTGTTATTTGTCATAAATTTTTAATTAATTGTGTGAGGGGAAAAGTGGGAAAATAACAATAGAAGGCATTTTATTTCATGAATAATGTTTATTTATTAACATTGACATCCAAAATATCTTGGAATTTCGACAATGAACTGTATTTTATAGGAAAAAGTACTCTGTGGAGCAGGATTGTTAATCAGTCAAACGTATACAAGTTTGGCCTCTTTAAGTGCTCCTAAATATATCTTTGGGCTTAGTTTATTTATCCTTGGGTTTTATGCATTTATATTTTCTAATACTGGGTTATTTTAACTTCTTTTACTTTTGTGGAGGTTTTTGTTGCACAGAACAAAGTAGATTCTTATACATCTTTGCCAGCTGTTTATTAAGCTGTTTATTAAGCTGCTTCTAACTTTCTCTTTCTTATGGATTATTTTCCGATCCTTCACTGCTGACATTTGCAGACATATTTTCTAGGCCATTGATTTGATGGATTAATGTTACAGATACTTGTGGAGGTCACTCTTGCTTCCTACCATTTAAAATGCATCAACTCCTTAGTGTACACACTTTCCTTTATGGCTTTTTTTGGTTGACGAAACACAAAGTTACATGCAACATTTATGAATCATTATTGGGATTGCAAATGCCAAACTGCTTTGGTTTGCAGCTCTACTTCTTTGAAATGGAACTTGGACTGCTGGTTCAAAAGTATTGGCTATCTTCAGTTGTCATGCCCTTTTATTTTGTGCAATTGCTTATATTAGAAGATTAAAAAAATTGGAATTATGAATTGCAGGTTGTTAGGTTTTGAGACTTTCTAAAAATGTGGTTACTAAAGTAACTGCATTTGGATTCAAGAGGTTAGTCTTCTTAAAAAAATTGCTTGCCTTTCAGTTCTTAATACCTGTGAAATCAGTATTTCTGAAGTGTCTTTTACTTGCTAGCACATTTCCATTTGAATACAGACAAATTAGAAATAGATATAAAAGGCTCCTAACTAATGTTCTCATTATGTCCTTTTATATTCTGGCATCCTTAAGGGTCCCTTCTGTCTTCTTTCATACTGAAAATGGTACAATTTATATCATCATGCTGCAAAGTCATTGCTTGGTTTTGATTTTTATTAACATTATTATTGAATATCTCTAACATATTATTGTGTCATTTTTCCATTGTTGAAATTTGGAGGTCTTGAAAAGGAGGTCTGCTGTGAGGTTTTTACTTTCCGTTTAATTTTTACTTCTCTGAGATTCATAGGATCTCTGTAACTTCCCTGATAGACAGGATATGTCTGATTTCCTGCACACTAGAGTCTGTTATGAAGGTAGCTATTTCGAAATGATGGCACTCACACCAGTGCCCCAGAATATGGCATTTGATTCGGTTTCTAAATCTCCCCCTTTTTCTTTATCTTCCCTCTTCTAAGAAGATTTTCCTTGTCAGTCCTTCGTCTTTTTAATTAACCAGGGAATTCCTTATGAATAATGGGTTTAAGAATCATTGAGATTCCACAATTCAGCATGCAGATACACGGAAGTGAGATGAATCACACAAATGTGCCTTCATGCTTTTATCCAAATGCTTCAAAATGTAGCCTTCTTTCTCAAATGTAGTGTTATTCAGAACAACATAATACACAATTTGTGACAATATGAAAAATGCGTGTATTGTGTATGTATTATGTGAAAGTCATTTAGCAGGAAGCACTACAAAAATACACTTCACAGTAATTACACAATAGATAATAGAACCTAGAATAGAAGGTTTTGTGTATTTATAACTATGAAGAGCCAGGGAAAATGCTCTACAGAGACCAAAGCTTACTCTAAAAAAATCAAACTTGCTTAACAAGTCTTCAAAAGCAGACCCATGATAAATATTTCTTTAACTGTAAGTATTCTACGAAGTTATTAAAAATTACTAAGCATGTTAACATAACTGAAGAAAATGCCACATCTAGTATTTGTGAAATGTGCCATCAGATACTCTGTTTTAACATATATGTTCTTCATGGGAGGGAGTTAACACAACATATTCAGCCTTATCTTAGCATTTCATAAATTCTGAATTCTTACCGAAGCAGCATCAAAGATCCTTCCATGGATGGAAGGTTGTAAAAAGAAAGGAAGAATAATGAGCTAAAAACCAGAACCAGCCTTTCATCAAAGCACTATGCCTAATATTATTTTTATAATTTACAATCTTTTAAGACAATATAGAGGCTGCTTCCAAGGAATAACAAACTCCATTCCCAGTAGTCATTTTTGTTGATGGCTGATCTTTCAGAGGGTGTTAGTAACAATAAATTTTTCTCATGAGAAACAGTAATTTTTATGTTTTCTTTTTTAGGTAAGAACACAGTCCTGTGCTGTTTGGGCACAAATTAAAAGTAAGTCAATTTTTCCTTCAATAAAAAGGTCTAAGTTATCATGGCTTCGCTGTGGCTGTTTATTCTTTTGCCATTCATGGTCTGTTGCCTTCAAGGATTGAAAAGGTTAGAGACTGAAAATCTTCCTTGCTCTTCACTATTCCATTCCAATGGATTCAGCAGTCCATTCTAAAATGGACTCTTCTGTTTTTCCCTGGTTTTCAATATTGCTATTTCTGTGCATCACATCCAAATCCTTACAGCAATTTTTGTGCACAAAGGGTTTGAAGCACAGAAAATGTGAAATTTTGGAAGCCTATTTTAAGATAGTTCTATATTGGCTTAAAGATTTAAATAATCAGTCAAAGAACAACAACAATAACTAAAAATAATAATAAAAATATTTTTGAAAACAAGAAACAAACCTCCCCCCAAAAAAGAAAAAAAACCAACAAAAACTCACAAAAAAATTACAAAAAAACAACAAAAACCAGCTACACAACATTCCCACCATATATTTTAGCTTTTAGAGGCCATAATTTGTATACTGGTAAATAGAGTTTCTTAAATATATGAGTGGCATAACTTTAAAACTCAGTTTATTTCTCAGTGTCGTTTTATTTTGATTTACGTTTTTGACTTAAAAATGTTTCCAATTAGTGAGTTTACCTCAGAGGAGTTTGGAATCCACTAGAGATCATGTTTCCTTCCTTTCCACCATAGTTGAAAGTACTCTTTATCGACCTCACGTCTCAGCAAAAAGCCAATATTTGCCTCCCCTGACAAAGAAGGCAGCACCACTGCAGTCTCCTATGAGCCCTAAAATCTGCTTTTGAGTTTAAAGTCTCACAAATGCTAGTTAGGAAAGGCAGTAATGCTGGAAAGTGAGACAGTACTTTGTGATTATGTCAAATCATGTGGTGCATGGAGTGCTTGAGGTGCACTTCCTCCATATCTGATTATCACTATAACTGATCTTCTGGTGACAACTTTGTGTTTATTTCTGGGTTTTCTTTAGTTATTCTTTCCTTTAGTTACTCTTTTTTAATTACTCTTATGACCTACTTAATTTACTACCACCCTTTGAGTATAATATAGACAGTTCTTTGTTGTGGAATCTCTGCTAAGATCAAGGATTCCTTAGGTCTGGCAGTTCCATTGCTAGGACTGTTTAGGCACTAGCTGTAGAATAATTCTGGAAAGACAGAAGATTGTCCTTTTCTGAATTTGCCATTTGTCAACATGTAGCACATCATCAAAGGCTGTCTTACAAACAGGTGTATTTTGGTTTGGGGGCTAAAACAATGAACACAGGGAAGTGAGAGTAGGACAGGTCAGGCCTTTGACCTTTTGTTGTAAATCCATTTGCCTTAATATCGAATGGACTTACAGTCAAAGTATTGTTTGCCTTAATGTACTTCTGCAGCTGGAGAGGCTGAGAGTATTTTTGGCTTGCTGATTCCTTTGAGAAATGTTTCTTAATTCAATTTGTGTGGAAGGCAAATCTGTAAATTAAATCTAAACCAAATGGCTCTGTTTCAGGTGCCATCTAGCTAGACATTATGTGATAGATCATTGTCATTAAATGGTAGAAAACTGTATTAAAAGCACACTTTCTTCTGCCACAAGTAAGTAAAATGAAGTTTTAGGGTTTTTCATGATACACGCTCTACAATATGGAGGGAAGACAATTATGTATATTTATAGGGGGCTGATATCTTCTCCGGAAATGTGTAATTTGCTGATGGAAACTGGTGTTATAGGACAGTGTTACAAGGACTAGTATATCTTTGAACAAAATGAGTATAATAATATATTTTTTTAAAGAGCATATTAATAATTTTTTTAATACTCTAATTAATCTTTCTTCCTGAACTGGATGGTAACTACTGGATAGTTAGCTCCATTACTGTCATTTACTGAGCTGTAAGTCCAGCATCTGGGTTTTGTTACTGTCTTCAGCTATGAGCAGACTGAAGCTGCACTATTTGGTTGGTTTGTTTGAATTGTTTGATACTTTATTTCAGATTTATCACCCCCTCTACAATACATGACTGCTGTTGGATTAGGGTCGGTGGCTGCTGTCTGCCTTATATTGTTCCTGTCGTTCTCTGTGGCACGGTATGTGGTGTTGCTGCCTCTGGTTTTGCAGTCCTTCTTTACGTCTTCTCAGTTTTTCTTGCCAGAGTGCTTGGTTTAGGCATCTTAGGTGCTTAGAAAGTGTAATCGAGGGTGCTTTCAGTGGCCACTAATGCTGTCCATTGCTTGAACTGATGTCCTCTCTGTCTCTGCAATTAGTGGCAAAGCGTCTGAAATGTGTAGGACTTATCTTAATAAGGGAAGGATTTAATACAGTGAACAGAACCAGGACTTTAGTACAGAAGTGTTCTCATTTAATGGGAATTAAGTACATGAAGTTTATATGCTGTAAAAATGTTGATGCACTTTGTTATCTACAGAGCTAATTTTTTGTCTTCTTGAATTTATTCAAAAGGTTTGAAAAGAATTGGTTTTCAGTAATGGTTGAACTTTACCTAAAGGCCATTATAAAATAGCTTAAAATTTTTAAGAGATTTATTAATTTATGTTCTGTGATCCTTCAAGCAGGGTCAGTAACTTCATCGCTGTCTTCCTTTCAAAGTTAAAACAAATATGCAAGTTATGAAATTGTAAATGCCTACAGGCATGTAAAACCTCTTCAGTAAATGCTGTGTCTTTGTTGTTACTTCAATATGCATATCTACAAGAATAGTCTGTTGATATATTTCCCCTGTAAGGTCAGGAGCCTCCAGCTTGGGGGCTGTGAAATTTAATGTTGATTGGTTAAGCTGCTTGTTTGGCACTCTGAAACAGAAGGAACTAGTCATATATAGGGCTGAAGAAAGTAGGTTTACTTGGATTGTTTGTGGTTGTCTAAATTTCAAATCAGTTCTTGCAATCAAAATTCTGAATGAAAGGTTCCATGGTCTCCTTTTTTTCTTTAAGTAATCAAATAAACAGGTCTCAGACTTTGCTTGGCAGTAGCATGCAGTGGTAAACTTAGGCTGGCAGTCTTGGTTGGTTTTGGGGATTTTGAAAATGTTGTCAGAGTTAGCTTTGGTATTTGAGGAAGAGGGGGCTTTTACTGATTTGATTTCTAAAGTTGCTGACTCCTGAGAGAGGACTTATTGCAGGAGGAAAGGGTTCCCTGGGCTGTCATAACGTGAAAGGCTTCTCAGTTATTTCAGTTTCTCTGGCAAAAAAGTGGCAGAGGAATATTAGTACTTCTCAAAACTATGTCAAAGCAATTAGGTTCATAGTGATAGGAGAGTGATTTGAGGTGAGACAGTAGTAGAAGAATCATGTATGAGTATGAGCCACATGTGAGAGTGTGCAGAGAAGATAGACCCTGAACTTCCACTTCAGCCTTCTTTTGACAGGATTGAGAGAAGATTAAATCCTTAAGGATTACATTGAGTATATTTGACAGTGGTGTAAATTAACCATCAGTTTAGTGCATTTCTGAATAAGAATGTGATTTGAAAAAAACCCATATGACGTCAGCTTTCTGCCCTACCCAGTTGTAAAACCATGGTCCTGTTTTAGACACTGTATTCCAAGATAGATGTGGCCTAGTAGGAAGAAAAGAGAGTGGAATTTGATGGAGAGACCTAGGATCTATTTAATCTAACTGCAAATAGGGCATTCTAATGGCAAGTTGGTTGCTTAGCCTGGCAGAGAAGATACTACCAAGAAGCACGATATGCAAATATACACAATGCCACCATATAAAGATAACTTCCTCCTGTTGGTAGTGCCAGTGGTACATGTACCATCCATGGGCAGTATACCCATATGCTTCTGAGCTGTAGGAGAGGGAGGCATGGGAACAGATTACTGTGAATGCAGCTTCTGGGTGGTCTGCAAGAGGAGGTTAAACAAACTTGTCAGTAATGACATAGCTATGGCTGATCTTGCCATGGTGTCAGGTGAATGGTCTTGGATTATTTCTTGGAGTCCCTGTAAGCTTCTGTCACAAAGAGCCACTGTATTCAAGTGCTCACCAGCTTGCCACATGTCTGCTGTCTCAGGAATTATGTTTCCACAATGGGTCAGGGTGTGAATTCCTGCTAGTGGGGCTGCTGACAGCAGTTCCAACTGCTCCTCAGTGAATAGAAGTCTGGCACTGGATTCGCAAATTAAAGTCTGACTCCTGATGTCCTTAGATTTTGTATTTTTCATTTTAAGTAATGCATTACCCCATAGCTCTTGTTATTAAAGTTGTTGTCATTCATACACCTTGCTCCATTCCTTAGTTCTTTGCTTTCTTTTATATGTGATGCCCATTTATATGTATAAGGACAGTGTCAGAACTCCAGATTTCTGAAGATCTGCACTGGGCATCAGTGTTGTTGATGCCAAGGTTAACAATGGGCCGGTAATCATCTGCTAACCCATGAGAATGCTTCCTACCCATCTCACACTGGCTATAACGATCAGGATTTGTACCAGCACCATGCGTCTTCAAAAAACTTCAGAAGCGTTGTCATGTATCTAATCAATATGAATGTGTCATGGATGTCATGTATAATCTAATATGAGTGATACAAGTTCCCTGTCACATCCACGCTTGAGTCTTGAATAATTTATAAGTTTTTTTTAACCGGAATTTTCTCCTCTCACCAGCTCTTGTCTCCACAGCTCAGTGCATCCCCCACCTGCTGCTGTAGCCTGTGAGGCTCTACATTTATCTACTACAGTAGACATGGCACAAGCAGGGATTGCATCATCATTCCTAGAGACTGAAAGTGTCTCTCCTCTCTGATGGTTTATTCTCTGAAGTCAGCATGGGAAAAACGTGCTCTTCTTTCAAAGCTAGCATGTGCCGGCTATCTGCATGTCACATATGTACTACAGCATGAGCAGTTTAAATGTGTTTGTCAGGATGTTTATTCTCTTGCCTTAATCCAGATGATGTGGTGTGTAAAGGAGAACCTTCTCTCACAAGCAGGTTATCATGCATCCCATGTGTTGCTCACAGGCTTTCAGCTATTCCAGCTGCATAAGTGCCTGATAATGAGTGCTTGTATTGTACTTGATTACATGAATAATCCTGTGATCCAGTTAAGACTGTTTGAGGATTAACTGCTACTTTAGATACCTATGCACACATAAACTGGCCTATTAGGAACGAAAATACAGACCTACACTTATGCGAGACAGAGTGGCTATTGTATGTCCAATTATGAAGGTAGAATGCTTCTGTCAGTCACTTACAAGTTATGATACATCAGTAACAAGTTACACTTGTTAGCCATGGAGTTGCCACATTCAAGTAGTGTCAGCAACTGATGTGTCCCAGAGATACTGCAGTCATTGCTCATAGCAATTAGCAGTAATTGCAAATAATGTAACAATCTATAAAACTGCAGTTTGCTCAAAAGCTGCTTGCTTTAATGGCATGTGAAACTAATTTAAGGAAGGACCTTCCTGTGTTAAGTGCAGTTTTGTTAATCTCTGTTCTTTTCTGTTCTGTAATTACAGCTGAGTAAAGCTATTAAATCATTGTCTGGTTAATTGACTGATGTGTAATATCTGGTTAGAGTCACTTAATAAAGTACAGTTAACCAATTTCCTATGGAATATTCCTAGTTAATACATTTTTTTCTTCTGTAAGAAAGAATCCAGTGGCTTTGATTATTTCCACTCCTCTTCAGAAGTTGCTTTGTTATATGTTAGCAAAAAAATCTGTTAACTGGTGAAATAAAAAAGCAAGAGCTTTGTTTTTTACTCGGTTTTGTGATTTTTTTTTTCCTAAGTTACGTTTTGTGTTTTACCACTTTAAATATATGCTATGCATTTTTTGGAATTGTTAAGTTTGTGAATTGCTAGGATTCTGATGCCTGCTGCTCTTATAATTTTAGATGTTCTGTCTCTCTGTGACATGTAATTAGGGTCTTTTTGTCTTAAAGTGCAACAGCAGATTTCATAGTTAGAAGTAAAGAGAAATAACAGCCAAAAAGAGTTTTCAATTGCTGCATCCAGCTAAGAGTATCTTTTCCAGGTCTGGACAGATACTATTTTGGTTATCCAGCATTTTCACAGCTGTTCTTCAAGTTAATAGCTAAGTAAGAACACCTTTGTCTACATTAGCATTTTCTGTTGCTAAGTGAGAAAGAATAACTAAGCTGTTCATACTGGGAGACCATGCCTTAATTTTTCAGTTTCTCGTGTGGAATTTATTCTCACACATGCCATGCCTAATTCCCTTTCTCAATGGAATAGATTACAAGGTTTGGTATAACAGTACGAACTGCACCACTTCATTCTCATTCAGTCTCCTGCTGCTCTGGTCCTGTGAGAGAGTTCATGAGCAGCTGTTCCTGTGTAAGGGAGAGCTGGAGAGGCAGGAAATTATTTAGAGAGATAGATGTGCCATCCTCTGTGAAAAAACTGAGCTTCTTTACTGAGACCAGCAGTGTTCCACTAGTGCTACACTTGATCAGACCATAAAGTCCATCTTGTCAGTGGATATAACTGGAAAACTGGAGGTCTTTGTGTAACCTTCAGCAAGTTATTTCTTCTCTATGTGCTTCTTATTTACCTAAGTTGCTCTTTCATAATGTAAAATTTTCAGAGCAAGGTTCTTTACTTTAAAAACATCCATACTTCTGCTGGTAGTTAGCTAACATATTTTATGACTGATATGGACATCTCCACACAGTGTAGCTTCTTAATACCAAGAAATGGACTGATAAGGGAGAAGAGATGAGGCAGCAGTCTCTGGCATCTTCAATTTTCTTCAGCAGCTACAGTTCTACAAGTTTCCCTCCTTCCTTCTACCTCCCTTGTCTCTCTGAGCAGACCTACCTCTGGCTGTGAGCATATCTTCATCTGTGTTTAGCTTATTACTTCACGTGTACTTATCTTTCTTCCACCTATATCTGTTTCAGTTAAATGCAGAAAGAATAGAGAACTAATTTAATCTTGCCATCCTCAGATAGATGTGGAAATGTTAACAGCTTTTTGTTAGACCCTTGATGTATTGCTCCCAAGCTTTTCTGCTGAACTAATTGCAATGTCATAACCACACTGTCATGCTTCCAGAAATTCTAGAGGCATTTCTAGTTATCCTTCACTGCTGTACTTTCAGGTAACACTGAAATTCATCTTTTTCTTCCAATATTTTCTCTGCTTCTTGGATATGTGTTCCACACCCAGGCCTGGTAAAGTTAAGCAAACTGAATCTACTCTGCTTTTACTGCTGATTTATACCACTTCATGATGCTATATTGAAATGTGCTATATTGAGAAATTCATTGGTTTAGATCCATACCAATATCTGCACTACATGCAAAGTGTTTTAATCTTCTTTATAGGAAATGGGAAATTACTAGTCCTGGATGAACAATTCTTGTAAGCTTAAGTGAAACTAGTTTTTCTATTTCATTTTATTATTGTGAAGTAACACAGGACACTGTAAAAATCCAGCACTTATGCAAGTAATTATGATGGTATGTCAAATGAAAAATATTTTATTGTAAAATTCCACTACATGTCACTGACGGGTCCTTTCAACCTTTTGGTGAGATTTCTTTGTTTAGGGCATGATAAAGCCAGAAGCCAGTCAGGCTTGTCTGTTTCAGTACAAACAGGGCCAGATAAGTAAGCCAATGTCCTGGTTTTAAGCCCAGCAAGTCCATGGAAATTGAACTCCTCACAGCCCCTCCCTCCCTTCTCCCTGCAATCCAGTGGAATAGGGAGGAAAACCAAAGTAAAAGTTGCATGTTGAGCTAAGAACAATTTAACAATTGAAAACATAATAAAATACAATAATTACGGTGAGTAATAATGAGAGTGGAAAGAGAAAATAAACAAGTGATACACAATGCAATTGTTCATTGCCCACACAGATGCCAGAATCTCCCTCCCCCCCATCCCAAACCCAGACTGGCTGAGCTTCTGGGTGACTCCCCCCAGTTTATGTACTGGGCATGACATTCTGTGGTGTGGAATATCCTTTAGCCAGCTTGGGTCATCTGTCCTGGCTAAACTCCCTCCCAGTTTGTTGGGTGTTTTGCATACCTCCTCACTGGCAGAGCATGAGATAAGGGAGAAAAAAGTACCTGATTAAGGATAAACACTATTTAGCAAAACTCAAAACATCCGTGTGTTATCAACACCATTCTCATTCTAAATCCAAAACACAGCACTGTAACAGCTACTGAGAAGAAATAAATCCTACCCCAGTTGTAAACAGAATGCTCCTTGTGTTTGTGTAGGTTCTCAGATTTAACTATTCTCAATCACCACTCCTGTTTCCAAGGTCTTGCACTATTTTGTGAGGCCATTTCATATTCAGCATGGTTCAGCCAGAATCCAGGGTGGGTGCACAAGTCTCTAGCTCAGATGAAAGGATTTCTGTTCCTAGTGACAGAATTGCTGGGAAGTTATGAAAATCTGTGAAAAATCTAACTTTGCGATTCTTTCAAGGAAGGAACTGGTGTCCTTGAATCATAGACTAAGTAGATTCTGTGAAATTAGTTGGTGATCTCAGTGCCGAGCTCTAATGTAAGGGAGTAAGTGTCAGCATTGCAAAAGTGCTGCAGTTCCTAGCAGCAGAAGAATGACACTTTGGACAGCACAAGCACTGTCATTTCTGACAGAGATGAGGACTGAGGAGTCAGAGCACAATGACTGAATTTGTGGTATTATGGAGCTATTTCCATTTTGAAGTTAACAAAAATGGCACCATTACAGCCACAGAAGAAAAAGTGGAAGACTTTTCCTGGAGTTCTCTTTTTCTTCCTCCCCCTCTTTCCTCAAATTTTTACGTGTATTTTTTCTAGAAATAGAGCCTTTGTTCCAGCAATACCACTGTGGAATAGCCTTTTATTAGTGTTTTCCCGATCTGAAGGCAGCAAAATTTATGCAGTTGTAGTTCATGTTTTATCTTCCCTGGAGTCCTTGTTGGATTACCATATGCAAACATTGTACATGTACTCTGTGTGTGTGTGTGTGTGTGTGTAGTTTATTCTGTTTGTTCCATTGCACTTAACTGAAGATACAGTCAAAATTTCTCAGCAAGGGTGGGAAAGCTCGGTTTTCACTCCAAGACTGTAAAAAAATACTAGTAGAATGAGAAACAACAGAGAAAGAATTATAGAAATGAAGCAAATTCTTACCAGAAAGTAATTTCCAGAGGCCTAGATTTTCCTGAGCAGCTTTTAGCGTGGAATATTTTAGCCTGATTTGATAATAGTTCATATAAAAGTCATTCCTGCAGCCATCCTGGGAGGAGTGAAAAGGCAGCAGTCTGGTGAAGATGTTCCAAGCTAATCACCACACATCAGCTGGGCCAATACACTGAATAAAGACTAATATAACAAGAACAAAGAGTAGGGTTGGTGAAAGCCAGCTCTTAGCTATCCCTTTTAACTGTGTAAAATGGCCTTCTCAGTTTTACTCTTAACTAATTAAAATGTTAGGAAGTTTCATTTTGGTTTGTATTCCTGTGAAGTCTGACCCATCCTGGGTATTTATTTTCATGCACTCACTTGTCCAGTCCTTTCTTCTAACTTGGAGTATTCCTTCTTGCACAGAAAAAACAGAATTAGATCACCATGGAATGCCTAATTAGTAGCAATTGTAAATATCTGCTGAGAGGCACAGGGACAAGGCATGAGTGTTTAACACATTCTTTGCCTCTGTCTTCAGTGTGGATAATGAACCAAAGGGGTCTCAGTACCCTGAGCTGGAGGACCATGACTGTGAGAATGATCAACTACCAATTGACCCTGAAGTTGTGCAGGATCTGCTGCTCCAGTTGAACATCTACAAATCTGTGAGGCCTGATGGACTTCCTCAAAGAATTACATGATGTCATGTCAAAATCTGTCTTGATTTTTTGAGCAGTCTTGGGAATCCAGAGACCTCCCAGCTGATTGGAGCCGATGAACATTGTTCCAGTTTTCAAAACGGGCAGGAAAGAGGACCAGGGAAACTACAGGCCTGTCAGTTTCAGTTCAGTGTTCAGTAAAGTTATAGAAAGATTATTTTAGGAGGTATTGAAAAACATGTGGAGCAATGCAGTCACTGGTCACAGCCAGCACGGCTTCATGAAGGGAAAGTTCTGCTTATCAAACCTGATTTCCTTTCATGACAAGGAAACCGACCCAGCTGATCAAGGGAAGCCAGTTGATGGCTTTTGGATTTCAGTAAGGCTTTCAATACTGTCTATCCAGTATTGGATAGCCCTTCTGGAGAAAATGTCCAGATTGTAGATGAATAACCATGTTACATGATGGGTGAGTAACTGGCTCAGGGGTCAGTCACAAAGGGTTACAGTGAATGGATGACACCAGACTGGTGACCTGTCACTAGGGGGGTTCCACAGAGCTCCATCCTCAGCCCTGTGCTCTTCAGCTGCTTCAAGAAG